AGCAGCAGCAGCACCATCATCACCACCACCACCACCACCACCACCACTACCATCAGCAGCAGCAGTAGCAGCAGCAGCAGCACAAACACCACTACCACCACCACCATCAGCAGCAGCAGCAGCAGCAGCAGCACAACCACCACCACCACCACCACCACCATCAGCAGCAGCAGCAGCAGCACCACCACCATCACCGCCACCATCATCATCATCAACAGCAGCAGCAGCACCAGTACCAGCAGCAGCACCATCATCAGCAGCACCAGCAGCAGCACCACCATCACCACCACCAGCAGCAGGAGCAGCGGTAGTAGCAGTAGCAGCACCAACACCACCGCCACCAGCAGCAGCACTAACACCACCACCAACACCACCACCAACACCACCAGCAGCAGGAGCAGCACTAACACCACCACCAACACCACCACCAACACCATCAGCAGCAGCAGCACCTTCGTTGGTAGCTAGCCGATCCGCGGCGTGTCCACCTTCTGCCGGCTATACGGTCCGACCGGTCGGCGCCGACCGACGGTCCGCCGACGCCGACCGACGGTCCGCCGACGCGCTGCGCGGTGCGACACTACGCGTCAGTCTCTGGCTGTGTCGCAACGCTACGCTGATTGGTGACCAGCGCACGAACGCGCTCTTCCGTCTCGTACTCGACGTTGTCGCGCACCAGTACAACTTCACCTACACCGTCCGCGACGGCTGTCGACAGACGTACGCGAGCCTCCGAGAGCTGGTCCTCGCGGGCGACGTCGACATGCTATGCGACGCGGCGCTGCTGCGCGAGCGACGCCGGCAGCTGAGATTTCTCCGCGGCATCGTCCACGGCCAGTACGTGTTCGTCGCGCGGAAACCGAGCGGTCGCGTGAGCTACCTTACAGTCCTGTCACCGCTCGACGCCAACTGTTGGCTGTTGATCGCCGGATGCGCCGTCGTCGTCGCCGTGTTGCTCACGGCACTGCAAGCCGACGCGGCGCCGACAGCGCGCATGAACTGGTGCGAGCGGCTGGTCTTCTTCTCCGTGTACGTCTGCGGTACGCTCGTCAGTCAGGGCGGCACGTATCGTAACGTCGGCGCGGCGACGCGCATGCTGCAGGGCTGGTGGTGCATGTTCGTACTGCTCGTTGCCACCGTCTACACGGGCACGCTCGTCAGCTACCTCGCCGTCACGCCGTCGATCGTCTACCCGTTCGCGAGCACGCACGAGGCGGCCGTCGGCGCCATGACGCCCGTCGTCATACGCGGCTTCTCGAACGAAGCCATCCTGCGCAACAGCGACCCGCATTCGGATTTCGGCCGCATGTGGGCGAAGGTGCGCGCCGATCCGAGATCAATCGCCGAATCGTACGGCGAGGCGATGCAGACGGTCATGTCGGGCGAGTACTTCTACTTCGACTTCAGCTCGTGGCGCACCGGTGCTCTCATCGGCATGGCGAAGGGCAAGGACGAAGAATGTCTCGCTACGGTCGTGCCCGTGGAGTACATACCGAGTCAGATCACGTGCGCTCTGTCGTTCACGAGTCCCTACTACGACGGCATCAACAACGCGATACAGAATCTCGACGAGAGCGGAATCCTCGGTCATTACAAGCGACTCACCTATGAAACCCTGTACTGCAACGATGACGCGGAGGTGACGGCCAACTCTCTCTGGGTGTCCAACCTGCGTAACATCTTCGTGTTTCTGATCGGCGGCGTCGCGCTCGGGCTCGCGGCGCTGATCGTCGAAACTCTCGAGTCGCTGCGGAAATCGCGATGGCCGAGAAGAAACGTCTTGGCGTCGAAGCGAGCGTGGTAATCGCGACTCGTTTACCGATAATTATCTTATACATCCGTTTACATTACGAGCATGGTTCGATGTGAGTCTCGTTCGTTGTTCTCGTGCGTGCGAACGTGTGAAACATACGTGCAACATGTAACGCATTTTTGTCAACAAATGGGTTTAATTTGCGTCGCTGCGAAGAATTTGCCGAAACAGCAAGAACGATATATTTTATTTATTCCTATAGGTATCCATCGTTCCTATATTTATTATATAGGTGTATGAAATATTCATTCATCTATATCTCATATATATATATATATACACACACACACACACACACACACACACACACACACACACACACAC